CACAACCCACCACAGCCATCCATCTCTAGGATTTTCCCACTACCTACCATGGCCATCCATCTCTAGGATTTTCCCAGAATTTACCATGGCCATCCATCTCTAGGATTTTCCCACCACCCAGACTGAAACTCTGGATCTATCAATCTATACCTTTCTAGCCCCTTGTAACCACTCTTCTTTATGATTTTTGCCTGGTCAGAGTTCTTATATGAGTAGAATTATATAGTATTTGTCCTTCTGTATCTGATCTGTTTCACATAACTCAGTGCTTTCCAGTTCTATCATGTTATAATGTGTTATCAGAATTTTCTTCCTTTTTTATTTTTTCTTATGGTACTGAGGATTGAACATAGGTCCTTCTCACAAAGCTACACCTCCAGATCCTCCCCACCCTGCCTTTAAAAAAAAATAATAAAATAGAATCAGTCTTGTTAAATTGCTAGGTCTGGGGCTGGAGAGATGGCTCAGTGGTCTAAAGCACCTACTTGAAACAAGCTTGGCAAAGCACAGGGACTGCGGTTCGATCCCCAGCACCACATGCCAGCCAGACCCGCCCCCTGGTGGGCTGAGCTGGCCACACACACACACAATAAATAAATGTAATAAATAAAAATAAATAAATATTTAAAAAATAAATAAATAAATAAATTGCTAGGTCAGCCTTAAACTTGAGATCCTCCTGCCTTGGCCTCCAGTGTGGCTGGTGGGATCAATACAAGTGTGAGCCACCAACCCAGGGTCATTCTTTTTTAAAGTTGAATGTGGCACGTACCACATTTTGTTTATACATTCACATAAGGCTGCTGTATTTGAACGTGGGTATGCAAGTATCTTTCAAGTCTGCTTATTATTTCCAATTTGTAAGAGAGAAACTCAAGACTCAAAGAGACTGCCAGTCACACAGACTGTTCAAAGCCAGAGCTGCATTCAGGCCCTGGTGGGCGACACTGATGGAACCATGTCTGGTGGCCTACATCTTTGAGCGCTCAGCTGGGAACAAAGGAAGGAGACAGTGAGGTCCCAGGAGCATACAGGACAGGCAAGAGGGACAGGGCTACCCTGTACCTCAGATTTTACTCCAGAAGAGGAAGAGCAGACTGAGCAGGCAGCCCGGAGGGGGAGGGGGTGAACCCCTCCTGATCCTTATCTTTCTTGGGCGTAACAGAGGAAAGTAACTGGGACACCTGACTGCGGTGACATCTGGGCTGGGGCTGCAGGAGGGGAGTCCCTGTGAGCTCATCACACCAACCCATCTCTGGTAGCAGACTTGTCCTCCTGCCCACCTTGCTGCCAAGAGCCACGATGGAGATCTGTTTCCTTCCATGCGCCTCTGCAGGTGGAGTCACTCACGCATTACAGTGAGAAAAGCCACAGGCTGTTTGGTCCTGGCACTGGATATCATGTGCTTTTTTTTTTTTTTTTTTTTGATACTGGGAATTGAGCGCAGGGCCTTATGCTTGCCAGGCAGGTGCTGTCCACCTGAGCTACACCCCCAGCTCTCCATAGGCTCTTGAAATCAATTGTTTTGGATCACCCACATTCACTTCTCTTCCTGGGAACAGTACCTTGATTCCCCTTTGGGAAAACAACCTCTTCCCATTCTCTCTTTTAAAATTTTAATGATGGTAAACACACAACATTTTAGAATGATGCAAAATATGCACTGTAACCATTTCGAGTGTGCAGCTCAGAAATGTTGAAAACATTTCTTGGGCTGGCCAGATAGCTCAGCGGACTAAAGCGCCTGCTTAGGCAGAGCACAGCAGCTGGGGTTCGATCTGCTGAGACGGTGATTGAGACTGGGTGTGGTGGTGTGCACCTGTAATCCCAGCGCTTGGGAGGCCAAAAACAGGAGAATCACTACCAGTCTGATCTATGTAGTGAGACCCTGTAGACCCTGCACCAAATACATGAAAAGAAAAGATTCCTCTGTAGCACAGCCAATTCCATTCCTTCTTAAAAAGTCAGATTTTAGCAGAGTATGGTGGTGCATACCTGTAACCCCAGCATTCTGGGAGGCTGAGGCAGGAGGATTGCAAGTCAGCACAGCTGGGCAATCCAGCTATGTCCTGTCTTTTTTTTTTTTAAATGTTTTATTTATTATTATTTATTATTTATTATTTGTGTGTGTGTGTGGCCAGCTTAGCCCACCAGGGGGCGGGGCTGGCTGGCATGTGGTGCTGGGGATTGAACCGCGGTCCCTGTGCTTTGGTAAGCTTGTTCCAAGTAGATGCTTTAGACCACTGAGCCATCTCACCAGCCCCTGTCCTGTCTTAAAATTTATATATTAAAAAAAAAAAAAAAAAAAGGATGTGAAGGCCCAGGTTCAATTCCCAATACTGCCAAATAATAGTAAAGTAATAATGGTAATAATTTCAGTTTTTTTTTTGATCTGATGCACACCTGGCTCCAAGATGTAGCCTACAAAGAAGGCTGAACTATTCCAGGTTCCTGTTTCCCCAGCCACAGTGATTAGTTTATAACAGGCACATTGTGAAAACAGAGCTCCTGAGAATTGCTCCAAGGATAGGTGTAGAATTCACAAGAAAACAGCACGCCAAACAAGTAGGGATTGACTCAGAGCCACCCCACCCACAGAGAGGAAAGCAAAACTCAAGCTAGATAGCTCAGTGGACTAGGGGCCTGCTTTGACAAGCACAGGGTGCCTCATGCAGTGCTGGCCCCGCCCCTGGGGCACCCTGAGCCATTGACCATGTCTGGGTAATCCCAGCGCTGGGGAGGGTGAAAACAGGAGGATCACTACAAGTCCGAGCTGCGTAGTGAGACTCTGTACCAAATAAATTAAAAAAAAAAAAAAAGAGTGGACACAAAGCGCAAGTTTCGATCCCCAGTACCAGAAAAAAAAAAAAAAAAAAAAAAAAGTGGATACAGATGGTTCCAGTAAAGCCTGAGCTGCTGGATGCAGCTGGGCCTGTAGCAATTTCCTGGAAACTTGTTAGTTATATGACACAAGCACTTGCCTGTGCTAAGGTCATTTGAGTTGGATTTTTGTCATTTCTAACTAAAAGAATCCTATCTGGGGCTGGACGCATACCACACTGGGTACAGTGTTTGCTAAGCGTGTGTGAACCCCAAGTTCCGTCCCTGGCACCACAATAAAAAGGCGAGGGCACAACAGAAGCTGTCGCTGTGGCCCTGCTCAGTGAAGCGGGCTGGGCTGGCTTGGTTCCCGATCACTCTTGTGTGAGGCTTCACAAGACCCAAAGGCCGGTGTCCTTTCTTCCTGCCCTCTTCCGACTCTCAGAAATGACCGCCTTGGGGCCAGGGAGATAGTTCAGTAGAATAAGCAAGGGCCTGTGTTCAATCCCCAGTTCCGCAAAAAAAAAAAAAAAAGAAAAGAAAAGAAAAAGAAAAAAGAAAAAAGAAAGAAAGAAAGAAAGAAAGAAAGAAAGAAAGAAAGAGAAAAAAGAAATGATCACCTAGCCCACACCAAGTTCCCCACAAGTTGAACACATGACATTTGTACACTGATGAAAATTGACAGAAATGGTTGGTGGGGGGATTAGTATAATGAAAAAAATTCTACCAAAGGGGGGAAAATGGCCAAAGTGTGTCCCTGATCCATCGTGACGTGGGCAGGGACACAAAGCAGCATGACTGCCTAGCAGATAAGCAGGTCCCCAGAAAGCTAACGCTCTCTCGTCAGGAGGAAGCCCACGGCTCTCAGCAAGATGGGGTGTGCTGGAGCTCAGAGTCTGGTCTACACCGCGGGCACGCGGGCTGTAATGAGGACCAGCGCCGTGCTGGGGGACGGGGGGGGGG